AGGTCATATGGATCAGAGAAAATGCTTAGTTCTCTATTTTGTAATTCACATGACATGGAAGTGCTCTCAGGTATACCTTGTTGATGGAATTTCCTTAGTAATTTAAAAAACAAACAAACAAACAAAACCATTCTAATATAATTTATTCTTGACAAACACAATCATATTAGATCATTAATGAATGAATGAAAAATCATTTATTATTTTCAAAACAATGTGCCACATTTGAGGGCTAACAAAAGAAAAGCAAGATAGTCCCTTTCTCAAGGAGTTCACATTCTAATAGGAGTAAATAAGACATATAGGAGATTTCAGGTGAAAATCAGATGCCGAGATATAGTGGTCTTTTGGGTTGATAATAATAATAGCTAGTATTTATATAGCACTTTAAGGTTTGCAAAGCTTTTTGCATCTGCTAATTCATTTTATTCCGATAAAATTTTGTGTTTTAAGTGCTATTATTATCTACATTTTACAGACAGAAAAACTGAGCCACAGAGAGGTAACATGCCTAGACCAAGATCACACAGCTAGTGAATATGTGAGGCTGGATTTGAACTCAAGCCTTCCTGACTCCAGAGCTACCTTTCTATCCACTGTACCAACTCATTGCCTCTCTGGATTAGAATCCATAATTATTTACTTAAATGATTCTTAATTGGGAATGAATTCCTAGAGGATAATTTAACCAGTTTCCTCTCACATGTGAGCCTGACTTCATATTTTTTTTAACATAAGGATATATCTATATCTATAGATATAGATATATATGTGGGTATGTGTATATTTTTTACCTCAAAGGAGAGAATACCTGTGATTCCTTCAAATAACAGCTGATTACATATTTATGTATTATATTTATTTTTCCTTTTTCCTTTTCTTCCTTTCTTTCTTTTTTTATTTTGCTAGGCAATGGGGTTAAGTGACTTGCCAGGGTCACACAGCTAGTAAGTGTTATGTGTCTGAGGCCGGATTTGAACTCAGGTCCTTCTGAATCCAGGGCCGGTGCTCTATCCACTGCACCACCTAGCTGCCCCTATGTATTATATTTAAAGTAGTCACAACTTATAGCACTTTAAAATCTATAAACAATTATAAAATAATGATATATTGACTAAAAAGCAAAAAGAATGTGCCAAAAATCCCAGGAGTGTAAAAACAGCTTATTATTGATACGGGAATTATTGTATATGTTGCAAAAAAACTTTGTAATACCTTTATTATCTCAAAGCTATTGACCCGTTTCCATATTCGTACCTCATTCATGTACTGTAAATATATAAAAAGACCCCTGTTAAGTGAAAAACACTAGAATATTTGATGTGCACCTGGAAAACTTTTCTCTATTAAAAACATGCCACCAATACAATAATTTCAAGAACAATTTCTATAATATGGAGCATTTTTTTAGGAAGTCAGAATCTGTTCTTCCCTAAATAGAACTAAATAAGACTTCTAATTAAAAAGGGAGTAGAATCAAAATAACTTTTACATATGTGTGTGTATGTGTATGTATGTATGTATGTGTATGTATGTATGTATGTGTATATATATATATATATATATATATGACATCAAGCTGTATGGCTCTACTCAAAAGAAAAAAGTGGTGGTATTTCATCTCATGGAATCTTCCGCCAATGACATTAAAATGTTATTTGACCTTGATAAATATAAAATTCTTAACATATTCCCAGAAAAGAGAAAGATTGAAGATTTCAAGTTTAAATATGGAGGCCACATTAAGCCAGTAGATGGAAATGACACTTAAAAAACAAACAAACAAAAAAACCCTGGTCTCCTCCAAGAAAAACACATCAAGCCATGAAGGAGAAGCTGTAACTGAATACTTTCAGACACTTGATTGCATCCTGAAATCAAAGTTTAATGGGAAGAACACACTTAAAACAATTAACATCCATACAATAGCAATCCTCACATATTTTATTTAACTTAAAATGAATATATTTATCTACCTGTGCAATAAATTGTATGTATATTACATATATACATGTACATACACATGCACATATACACATCTATCCATCCATCCATGCCTATGTGTGTATATATATATATATATATGTATATATGTGTGTATTTATATATGTATGTATATATATATATATATGTGTGTTGTGTGTGTGTGTGTGTGTGTGTGTGTGTGTGTGTATAAAGAATAATAGAAGAATAGCAGCTCATTTCAGGACCCTGAGATCTTCATTGAACAAAATTAGATGTGTGAGATAATACTGCTACTAATAAAAACAGTAAGTGAAAAGAATGTGATGGTAGTTCCGAGACAATCTAGTCTGTGTAGTTCTAGAAAATTCATTCTTTCAGACAACTCTCTAAGGCAATTAGTTGTCAAGTAGTTGCCAACCTGTTTGGATAGAAAATTTCCTTGTAGGGAAGCTCTTCACAATGATGAAATCACAAGACCAAACCAAAAATATACAAGGCACGACACTGGGAATACAGAAAGTTCCTTGAACTCATGAACTTAACAATTTAGTTATAAAAATAAGCTACTATCTTAATTGTTGAAGACACAAAAACTAAAGAAATGCCATAGTTAGAAAGCTTACAGTCTCCAAGAAGAAGACGACATGCCGAGAAGATAGAACATATATGTAGAAAAGATTTCTCTATTCTGAAATTTTCCCAAAAAACATTTTTTTTGTTTCTCTCCTTTGTCCCAATCACCTTTTATTTTCCATTGTAATTATTTTTGTATGTGTGAAATCTCTGCCAGGTACATAGCATACAAAAATTTTAGCCAAACTTAACTTGCCCCATAGTATTCACAATTTTAGACCACAAATTACTTGGACAATGTATGTAATTGCCACAACAAGGAAAAATCAAATTCATGCTAAAGGACATAACTCTTGATGTTATGTACCTTACCAGGGTCTGTCTTACCAAATCTCTGTGGACTCCATTCCCTCTGATCCAAATTTGAAATACTCATGAAGGTCAATTAGGCTGGGGATTCATTAGCTACCTCTGAACATAGATCCCTGGGGTTACTTGTTTGTTCACTAAATTAACAATATATCATAAAAACACCAAGTAAGACATGTATAATTTTTGTGGAATCAAGATTTAAAAAAAAACACAAATCTTCCTGCCTAGGGAACACTTGTATATTATAACCCCATCATAGTTATGATGTTATGACATCTCCCATTAAATAAATAGTGCCTTCCTTCTACTACATTTCTAAGGTCCAGGAAATTATGTCCCACTGTTACAACAAGGGCAATTTCCCAAGATCTCAGATCTGGGACCATGTTTCAATGGACAAAATGCCATTGACAGGCTTAGAGCAGATGAATCATTTCCTATTTTGATGATTCCTATGAATATGGACATGCATTTGTGAGAGTGGACTTATGCAAGAGACAGAGGTAGGTGAGTTGCATAAGTGACTTGAGTTTCCTCACGTTCAGGATTAAGCCATTGTGTTTCACAAGTAAAAGTTAAGCTCTGAATTAAACCATCAAAAGAGGAGCTGTCAGAAAAATGATTATGTTCTTTGTGTATCTTCTCTATTTTTTTTTCTATGCTATGAATGGAGAAAATGTGGAAATACTGACACAGAAATCTTTTGTAATTGCTATCATACTCATGAAAGCCAGAGCTAACAAATGTTTATTGGTCCATGTGGCAGGACCAGTAAGTTAAAGAATCTCCTTACTGTGTATCCATCATTTAGACAAAAAGGGTGAATTCCTTCTTTTGATAGCTCTTCAGTGGTTGGAAATGTATTAGAGACACATGTAGAACAGAAATGATTAGAAAATAGATGATTGTTTTCTTTTTTAAAAGCCTTTCCTATAGAAGTCAGTGAATAGAGAAGTGAGGGGTGTGTGTGTGTGTGTGTGTGTGTGTGTGTGTGTGTGTGTGTGTGTGTGTGTGTGGTGGGGACAAGTATAGATAGCTTTTTGTAGGAATTTGGCTGAGAAATTGAGAACATAATTTGAGAGGGTTGTAGGGTCTTTAGAAGGTTTTTTTTTTAAGTTGGGGGAGACTTCAATATGTTTGTAGGCAGCAGAGAAGAAACCAGTAAATAAAGAGGGACTGAAGTTTAGATAGAGATAAGTAGGAGCAATCTGTGGGAGAAGTTCGGAGGGAATGAGATCAAGGGCACATATAAAAATAATTTTAAAAAAAAGTAATAAAACCAACTGCTTACATTTCCATCCTACTTTCAGGTATTATACATTATAAGAGTAGCTTCTACTAATATTTTCTTCTAACATCTCATCATGTCATGGGGCTGTACCTGATTTCTTCAAGGTTATACCAGAAGGATGCAGTCTCTGGTAATCCCTAGCAAACCAGAAAGGCATTAAGTATGGACCTGGTGATGAATTGTATTCTGTAGTCTGAGTAAAATAGCTAAATGCAAGAGATTGGGAAACCATATGATAATTTTATTTTGGCAGCCACATAATAATTTTGTATTTTGGCCACATTAACTCATGAAACTTTTTATCAAGGTGTAAAAGAGAAGTAATCTATGTCAATAGAAGACATTCACACCAATGAAATCAAGGATTTTGATATATCAAGATAGAAAATCCTTGTCCCATAGTTATTTCTATCCCATTCACAAAAATACAAGTCAACCTTGGATTTCTACCAAAAGATCATTTCCTTGGTGAATTTTCACACATTGATTTGCCAAGTTAATTTTTAACCATTCAGTTGACTTCTGAGAGATCTCTATCCACTATTTGTTGCATATTCTCAGTGAAAGCAGACTTATTTTAATGTTGGCCTGAGCATCATAATTGAAAAGTCAAATCTACTAAAAAAAACTAGTTGCAAAGATAAATATGATTTTTTTTTGCAATACTGCATGCATTTTTCCTAAAAACACTGCATGTTCTCCCCTCATTAGTATTAATAACCAATAATGACCTTACTCTTTTGTCTTTGGTATTGTCAGTAAAGATTTTTCTTATTTTCACATCTAGGCATGGTAGAAATCCGAAGTCAGTAATGGGAAATCATACAACAGTGACAGTGTTTATTCTCCTCGGATTGACAGATGATCCACATTGGAAGATTGTGCTTTTTATCTTTCTCTTCCTCACCTATATATTAAGTGTTTCTGGCAACCTGACCATCATCCTTCTCACCTTGCTAGATTCCCATCTCAAGACTCCCATGTACTTCTTCCTTCAGAATTTTTCCCTCTTAGAAATTTCCTATACATCTGTCTGCATTCCTAAATTTCTGGTTACTATTGCAAGTGGAGACAAAACCATTACCTATAATTGTTGTGCTGTTCAGTTGTTTTTTGCCTTCCTTCTTGGGGCATCTGAATTTTACCTTCTAGATGCCATGTCCTATGATCGCTATGTTGCCATTTGCAAGCCCCTCCATTACACGACCATCATGAGCAGCAAAGTCTGCACCCAGCTTGTTCTTAGCTCTTGGCTGTCTGGTTTCCTGATCATCTTTCCAGGCCTTATTGTAGGCCTCCAACTGGATTTCTGTGCCTCCAATGCTATTGACCATTTCTACTGTGACACTGGTCCCATGTTGCAGCTCTCCTGTACTGACACACAGTTCCTTGAGCTCCTCAGTTTCATTTTAGCTTTAGTGACACTTCTAGTTACTTTAACACTAGTGGTTCTATCTTATACCCACATTGCCCTGACAATTCTGAGGATTCCATCTGCTAGTCAGAGGAAAAAGGCTTTTTCCACCTGTTCCTCTCACATGATTGTCCTCTCCCTCTCTTATGGCAACTGCATTTTCATGTACATTAAACACTCAGCTAAGGAGAGAATATCTTTAACCAAAGGAATATCCTTACTCAATACTTCAGTTGCCCCTCTATTAAACCCCTTTATTTATACCCTAAGGAACCAGCAAGTGAGGCAAGCCTTTAAGGATGCAATCCAGAGAACAGCTCCTTTTTCAAACAAATAACATGTATTTTACCTATAAAAGGAATATAAATAATGAATGAAAAGCTAAGTAGAAAAACATGTCTTGGTTTGTTTTCATGGGTCATGTTCTTCCTTCTATTTATCTTTGTTCTTCTTATTTAACTTCTCCCATTTTATCCCCATTCTTTCCCAAGGTGTTCTCTTTGTTTCCTTCTCTTCTCAGAGACTTTTTCAAATCCTATCTCCTCCTCTGGATTTCTGAATGAAATGGAACTCTGAGCAGAGATGCTTCAATATCTATTTATTATATCCTTAAGAAAAAAAAATCAATCATATTTATGAGGCTTGGTAATATAAGACCATCTAGACTCATTGATACTTTACTTGTGAAGTTATACTTTATTCCACATATAAAGATCCTAACAAGGGAGAGAGACCTTATGTATTAATGCAGTTCTGTTATAAATGTGTATATGCGTATAAATAAAGGGTGTTCCAAAGTGCTAACAGCTTCAAACTGCACCAAGACTTTTGGGACACCCTATATATCCTAAAGTTATCAGTATTACATTCCTCAGAATGAGAAAGAATAGCACTTGCAATGACAGAATTCAAAGTAAAATGCACATAATGAAATATGGGCACAGAATTATAGAAAACAAACATCTTAGTAAGCATTGCAATAGCATTAAGCATTACAAGATTTTTGTGATCCCGTCATAGTATATAAACAGAAACAGTGAGACAATCTCTGCTGTCAAGGAGTTTTATTGATGTTGGAGAGACAACATATAAATGAAAGCTCAGCTGTAGGGAAGATAGAAAGGCCCAGTTGTTCTAAGGGTACAGTAGTGAGGTCCATGGCAAGGCCCCAGAGATCCTGAGGATCCTTAGCAGGTCAGATTCAACTTGTATTGAACTTGATCCATATATCCAATAACATACTATTGGGGAAACAAAACATAAGGCTCTCTCCTTTAAGGTGTTTCAATATAGTTGAAAAAAAGAAACCTAAAACAATAGGAATAAAAAATATAAAATATGCAAATAGGTTCACTGTATAGTACTGACTGTATGAACCAATACTTAAAACACTAGAATTTAGATAATTAGAGCATTGTTGTTAGGGTGGCAACAGTCAGGGAAGTTTTAATAGTTGGTATTATTCCTTATCTCAAAAATTGTTCTAGTTCCACCAGCTTGGGCCATTATCTGCAGTGTGGCCATAATGGCTAGAGGGCTGAGCTCAAAGCTTGGGGTGAATGATGAAGACTTGCCTCAGACACATACTATCTGTGTTATCCTGGCAAGTCAATTTAATTTCCCCATCAAGGATGTGGTAGTAAATATTTAAAAACTGATTCTCCCTCTATCCCTCAAAAATGTACATATGACACACTTTTAACTTTAATCTGCATTAATATTTTCATCATCATTTTAGTGTTTGCCAACTTCTGAGATATAAATACACTAAAAATTTAACAATCCTATCTCCTACACAACTACACAACTTCAGCATACTACTGCTCTAAGTGCAAGTCTTGGTAAGAATTAAGCCAAAAAATGGCCTAGTTTATTATCACAAAAATATCATTCTGGGAGAGGTTAACTAACAACCTTGCCAAGGTCATAAAGGTAATGAATGGCCATCACCTGAACTCAAGTCTTGATTCCAAGTATCAAGTTCCTTATAGAAAAAATCAAGGATCTCAGCAAGTATGGAAGGTGAGAGAGGATGTTTCAGTGACCTGTAGAGATTGTATTACATTGATGTTTCTTTAAGAACCAATCAATAAATACTTAGGTACAGAATGGATTTATCTTAAGATCTTTATGCTTCAATGAATAATAAGGTTGACCTAAGAGATCATCTAAGACTGGTTATAGAAAGGAGATTAAAATCTTGATGGATGGCAGATTCCTACTAAGGGGAAGGAGAAGAGAAAGGGATAAGCATTTATATAATGCCTACCATGTGTCAGGTACTCTGCTAAACACCTGCAGAAGCAATTGCCAGGCTACATCTCTACAGAGGTTTCTATCCTGAATAATGGCTGGAAGAGGTTAGGCTGGATGTAGAACAGGTGGTCAGGGGGAGGAGTTGCTACCACTTCTGAGTTCCCCTGCCCATTGATGGGAATTGGTTAAAAGCTGTTGCTGTTGGGGGGATTGGGCATCCACAGGGATTGCTTCTCTCAGGGCAATAGGGACCAAACTGGACCAGGGTCAGTGGACATGGAGACACTGCTATACCCAATGCTCTTGGGCTATCTCCATCAGGGTCTGTGGAGATATGGTGATCATTGTGTTAGTGGTGATTTGACTTGCCTGGCACATGCCACCTCCTATCTCTCCCTCAGGTTGCCTTGCTTCTTTAGTTAGGTTGGTTTGCCTGCCCTATAGGAGGTAGCTGGTTAGCAATTGGTGGAAATGGCTGGTTTCTCCCCTATAGTAGTTGCTTCCATGATGATAGCTGCAGAATTTGTGGGATAACAGCAGGACTTATGGTCTCGGATGTGCTGTCATTCTCAGAGCTCTTGACTTGATAGAAGAACCTTCATATCTCTTGCCTAATTTGATGACCACTACCCACTTCTGATGATACATGTTGGGTCAAATAATGCCACCAGAAAGGACCAAGAAACTATTTCTATTAAGTCCTAAATAGAATCACTTTTCATTCACAACAGGGCTTTGAAAGAGAAAGAGGAATATAGGAAATGAATATATGTAAGTTCTAGGTCATGTGAGCAACACAATGGAGGACTAGACATTTTCTTTGACCCCCATGACCTATAAAACCTCTCCATAATAGAAATTATGGGCCAAAGATAAAATAACTTCATCTGTCTCCATGGTCTAGAACATCCAGAATCCAAAAGTAAATTAAACTGTGCATATGTGTGTGTGTGTGTATATGTATATGTATACATATGTGTATATATGCACACACACATATATGTGTATATATATGTGTGTGTGTGTCTATATATATATATGTATACTGACACTCACTGACCCTAAGCTCACTCAGCAACCCTCCCCGACTTCTTATACTACCAGCATCCAGGCTGCTCAAGGACCAAACACATAAGTTGGGGCTTATAACAAAACCCAACCCTATACCTCAATCTTCCCTCCCTCTTTCTGGTGCTATGAAGACACTGGCACTAGTTGGCAAAATTTGCTTGAACAATGACAGCTAGCCAACTCAGCAGATGGCAACTCTTTAGAAGCAAAACCTTGCTAGGGGCCACAACACCATAGCACCAGTAGTACAAAGTTCTAAATTGCCAATGCCAGGGTAGACAACCCTGTAGTGTCAGTGTGACAGCTTTCTGAAATGCCAGGCCAGAGAACTAAGGAAGAGAGGGAGTGGGATAGGACTCCAGGACAAGACACTATGTATGTGTTTGTTTGGGTGGGGGTATCTATATAGCACTACACAAAGCCTGAGGAAAAGAGCACAGCATCCAGGTAGGGCCAGTTCCAATGACCCAATAGTCACTTAGGGCAGAGACTTAGGTTGATGAACTACATGTGAATGTGAATTCACAAGTGAATTACGAATTCTGGTGAATTGTGAGTTGTCCAATATGGGAGAAGCCCAAGATGCTTTGAAATCCACCTCTTAAGGCAACCACTATCACAGAGGACAGCATAAAAAAAGGGGGGGCGATCAGGGTTAAAAAAAAAAAAGACTAAAATTACCAAAAAGATCTCAGGAAGAAGATTGGAAAGACATTGAACATAAGCAGACAAATAAAATGGCAAAATATTAATAAAAGAAGGTATTATCTCCATATCTAGAAAATTAGTTCAGGCATCTATGAATAAATACTGCAAAACAAAGGAAAATGATCCACCATTTGATGAGACAGAAGATCTTGTGGAATTGAGGAGAACATAGTATTAGAACACACTGTTCCTGAGAGCTTCAAAAGAGACATGAGAATTATGAGAGCAGAATTTATGGCCAGCACAATAAAAATAATGAGCAGAATAGAAAAACTGAAATCTGCAATGGCAAATCTCATCAAAGAGACAACAATAGATTGGGAATGTAAATACTCAGAAGTAATCATTAGACTGGCAACTTTACGACCAGAAAAAGGGAAATATATGCAAAACATGCTGTGGGGAAAGACATTACGAGGTTTGGCAACTGATTTCATATATAGGATGAAGAAGGGTAAAGAGTTAATAGTGACACCGAGGTTGGAAACCTGAGTTACTGGAAGTATGATCATGCCTTCAACAGTATTAAGAACTTTCAGAAGAAGGATACATCTGGAGGGACAGAAAATAAGTCCTGTTTTGGACATATTGAGTTTGAGATGTTCACAGGACAACCAGTTCAAAATGTCCAAGAGACAGTTGGTGATGCATGCCTGAAGTTCAGGTAACACATTGAAGCCAGATATATAGCTGAGAATTATCTCTATAGAGATGATAATTGAAGCAATGTATCTTATAAGACCACCAAGGGGAAGAGTATAGAGAGAAAAAAAGACCTAGGACAGAATCTCGGGAGCACCCTAAGTTAGTGGGCCAGATTACGAAGAGCCAGCAGAGAAAATTGGAAAGGAGAAGTCAGACAGATAGGAGAACCAAATGAGAGAACAGTCACAAAAACCCACAGAGGAGACAGTATACAGCAGGATAAAGCAACCAAAGTTTCACATGGCACAGAGAGATCAAGAAGAATGAGAACAGAGAAAAGAGTTAGCAAATAAGCAAATATTGATAACTTTGGAAAGAGCAGTTTCATTTAAATAATGACATTAGAAGCTGGGGTTGAGAAAAAAAGGAAGAGGAGAGGAAGTGCCACCTACAGTAGAATTGCTTTAAACTTAGTGAATGCTACCAGAAATCAAGTGCCAAGATTGTTTGTACAGTGCAGTGCTGAGGTGAAATATAAAATTATTAGTAGGCTAGTAAAACTGCTTTTTATTCTGATGATACTTGTTCTCTAATCAATTATAACCAGACTTAAAAGTTGTTATTGAATTTTGTTCATTGTATTAGTTATTTTAATGT